ATAATTTAGATCATCATTTTAATCAATGCAGAGGTTTCACCTGTGAAAACTCACGATAGCATTAATTAATATTTGATCAGCTTAGCTAGCCTAGGAAGGTTTAAAGAAGAGGCTAAAATCTTAGTTTTCATCCAATTTATAAAAGAAAACATACCCTTATATTAATATAGAGAAATACCAAGGCTAAGGCAATCTTCTAACACAAAAATTATAACTTTAAAGTTACTCAAACAAGATAACACTATACTAAAAAGATGAACTATGAAAGCACATCCCAATATAGTGATGAGCTTTTCAAATTAAAGAAATATCTTTAACAACAACCTAATCGAAAATCATAAAAAAGGTTCTGAGTTGAATCAAAAATAGATTACTCCTAGTCGAAAAAATATTATTAATGATTAAGGAATTTAATATAATAAAGATTTTTTCTAAATAAATAATCTATTGGATTTATATTTAAAATACTATTATCCTCTTTAGCACCCTTGTAGGTTTAAAATAATTAGAGATACATCAATTAATCTTGGTAAAAAAGATTTCACAAGAAGTCAATTAGGTTTTACTAAAATTTAAAATAATCTTGAATAGAAGAAACTGATTATAATTCAATTTTCTATTCACAGAGAGTAAGGACCTTTTATATAAGGGATCAATTGTTAATTTTATTTCAACAGAGTACTTTTTAGTTGAAATTTTGTCTGGCTACTTCTATTCAATCTAACATTTACGAGATAGAATGAAAATTGAATCCTAGTTAGCTTACACAATAAATAGATTAATCAATTATGAGAGACCTATGAGTTAGAAAGGGAAGCCTAACTCTTGACATAAGATAACTGAGGGATTGAATTAGCAAAAAAGTATTGAGTCAACATATTAAATGCTCTTAAAAACAATAAATATTATAATTGACAAATTCTCATGCGACTCTTTCTTTTAAGGTGATGAAAGGCTAATAGGCCAGCTTTGAGAAGATATCTATGGAGATGGAATAGTCGCAATCTGAGAGAAGATCAACTCAAACAAGTTAACTAAGAATTAAGAAGAATCAGTAATTAATTAATTCTCCTAGTTTTTAAATTCACTTCTCAATACTGGCTGTCTTTCTGAATGATTAGTAAATTAGCAGAGATTTTCTTTTTGAAAAAGGTAAGAAGGAGCTCAGAATTAGCCCATAGATTTGACTCATTTTAATAACTAGGATTAATTGAGGATCTTAATGAAATTAAAAAAAAACTAATTAAATTCCCCTTTTTTTAGATCAAGAAAGGAACCATATTTCTAATTAGCTGGAAAAATC